GTGCGGTAAGATAATGAGACGCTATGCTTTTAATAAGCTGCATTTCGTGTGAATCTTCACAGTGAAATGATTGGACTGGATGTGGGGGATCAAAATAATTTCTCAGAGAAGTATAAAAGTTTTGCAAAACAAATAATATAATCTTATTTTTATTCATCTTTTTTTAATGACTAAGCTGTGAAATGTGAATATTTTTTTGTAAACAGAAAAATTTGAAAAACAAATTCGGAAACATATTTTAATTTTCCTGTCTATGAATAACGTAAAGGATAAAGCTTTGGTGTCCATTGATGTGTCATCAATGGAGTGTTCATAGTCATAATCATCATGTTTGTTGCCATGTTTAATTAACAAGGCGGCAAAACAATGTTTGCCACTTAATTTTTCGGATATTTTTTTTCCACAGCACCCAGCCATGTAATAAAATATATTGTTTTTGTAATATAAAATTTCTTAATTGTTGACATAAAACAGTAAATCAATAAGTTGTTGGTCATCGCTGGTTTCTGCATTCTCAATAATTGCTCGTTTGGTTTGTCTGAATTCCAAAACAGGAGTAATTTCATAATCATCCTCTGTGCAAAATTGCTTTTTATAACGTTTCAACTTCCACTAGGTCACATTTATTAAACTTTTAAGGTTGTCTATTTTAAGGTCTCATCTTTTTACTCATTGCTTCAGAACCTTGACTTCTCGTTTTAAAACGACAATTTCTTTAGATGCATATCGCATTTTCTTCATAGGAGGTTACAGGTTTTACATTAATCACCACTTCCTGATTTACTATCGGTGTACTGGCAGCTTGGACAACTTTATTGCTTACAATATCTATTCATTATCTTGCGAATCAATCTGTAAATAAAAAAAGGCTTAGTTTTTATATTTGTACTATAAAAAACACCAATACTACAAATAAAAAGTTCTGTGTAATACTTTAACTTAAAAAGTTGATGTGGGGTTCAACGTGAATGTGTGAACGAAAAAAGGATTTTTTTCAAATCGGTCCAGTAGTTCCTGAGATTAGCGCGTTCAAAAAAACAAACTCTCCACTTTTATATTATTAATATAGATACAATGTCTTTACTATTGTTACTCACCGATGAAACAATAGTTAGAACAGCATCTGATTTCAGTTTTGAAGCTGAACTATGTTTTATCATATCTTGTGGCTTGAAGTGATGACTGCAGATGACGATGATGATGACTGAAGACTCGTGTTTCTTCAGTATTAAATTGTCAGTGCACATTCCAGTTTAGGTATAAGTTCCTTGTTTGGAGATGATTTCTTTTTAAGTGCGAGCGCCCGTTCGGCTACGTCAAAGGGAGCAATTACTTGCCTAATGATAAATACCGCGCCGCCCTGGCTCGCGCCCGTTACAAATCAACTTAGAAGAGAGCGTTTTGCTTCAAGTGTGGGCGACCTGGCGGCAATATATCAAAGATTATAATCTCTCTTTGGATTAGAGATTTTGCTGCACGCGTGTTGTATTAAATAAAATTGTTATTAGTGTGGTAATAAAAGTCATTTTTGCTTGCCCATTATGAGAGGTATGAACAGCGCCAAAAGCGTAATAAAAGTAAAACAAAGATTATTGTTGATGACTATTTTTTTTATTTGATTTTTGCACATACATATTTATCGTAACAAATATATGAAACTGTGTAATGACATTAAGTTCCATGGAATATCTAAATATTCAGCACTCGACAGGCGGCGCAAGAGCGGCGCACCCGGGTGCACCGCACCCCTTACACCCTCGGGTAAAGACGGCCCTGAAGAATAGGTTTGCTTACATGGAAATTAGTAATATATATAACGGCGGGTAGTCAGAAGGGGCTATTACGAAGCCCAAATAGATCGTCCATATCGGAGGACTATCTTTAAAATAACACTGCAGGCGTGTATACCAACGTGGATTTGTTCCATTTTATCACTTTTCACACGAAAATATAACGAGATGAGCGTGATGTCGTCGGCTGTCTTTACTCCTCGGCGATCGGAAACAGAATTCCTAGTCCTTAATCTGTGGAATGTGTGCTAAAATGCCGGCAATTTGCTTTTGTTAACGAACTGTCAAAGTCAGTGTCACCATTATAATAAAATTAAAAGTATCGATGATCACGCTCTCTCTACAATCGAGTAATTAAGTAATCGAGTAACTAGCAATTAAAATAAAAGAAACTAAATCAAACGATCTTCGTAAAGATGATGCGACATATATGTTACTTAAAACTGTGTTTGGTTTAATTTTAGTATGTCTATACAAGTTCTGAAGACTTATACATAAATAAATTAAAGGCTGGTGGTGGATACATAAATAGGTACTATCTTACCTGCTATTTCTAACCTACATCAAAAAGAGGAGGTTCTTAAATCGACTGAATTTTTTTGTATGCGTTACCGGCAATTTGTATAATTCAGGTAGTATTTACAATACTTAAGGATGTATAGAATACTCAGAACGTCGAGAGAAACGTTTGAAATATTATTGTCGATCATTCATCACATACTCCCTAGGAAAAGAGACCCTGTTGTTCCATCGGCGATGTGTAAAATATAAAGATCTTAGTCTATATTTATGAACGTTAATCGGCCTACCTGGAAAATGACAGGCAAATAAAACATGCGATATTACTTAAAATTAGCTTTATTAAAATTAAGTATTGAAATTATATTACGTGATGCGTCAGAAATTTAAGACAATCGCTACGCTAAGCTTTGGGATCAAACCACAGAAATAAGGAAGTATTAAGAAAAAGAAGAAAGCACTAAAAAGCCCCTCGATAGATGGCGACTCTACCCAGTGGTGTAGCGTAGTGGGGGCAGGGGGGTGGCCCGCCCCGGGTGCCACTTTTAAGGGGGCATTTAACATTTTACAGTAAACAATAAAATATATTTTTAAATATTTGAACCAATTCATATTTTTAACATACCTTTAAATTTGGACCGAATGAAAGAGCACGGAATTTTTCACTACTTATTCTGGAAACACCATTTATACTGACTTAAGAGGATTCTCCGTATTTTATCATGCTTGGATTGTATATTGAGTAGGTTTGAGAATCGGCCAACATCTGTTTTTCATACCCCTTAGTGATAAGGGTTGCGAGAAACCGACTTCCACGCCGACGAAGAAAGTAAAGATGCTTTGACGATTCAAAGAAAGTTTTATTCATGGATCTTCAGTTGCTTAGTCAATTTTTTTATTTCAATTTGTTTTTATAATGACAAGCCCTTTTTTAGGATACAAGTCCAGTGTGCGAGGGAAAAAGTACACCCAGACTAAGAATTGAAGAATTAAAATTAATAATTTGTAAATCACACGAATATTTGTCCTTTGCGGGGATCGAACCCGTAACACTCGATCCGTGGGCAGTTGCATGGCGGCAACTCAACCACACTAATCTTACCTGTATAATGCAAAATAATGATGACAGGTCTTGCCGAAATATTCTTTTAAATTAATGAATATAATGTATAGTTTAAATATATAAAATATCTAATTAAGATGGGTGGCAAAATTGTCTGCCGCCGGGGGCGGAACCACGCTACGCCACTGACTCTACTAGACGTTGATTTTTGCAGAAAACGAATGGACCAAAGATAGTCATTTTATTTCCTTTTAACTAACATATTAAAACTGGAATTTGCAAAATTCGAAACTTTGATACCAATACAAATACGAAAAAGTACAAATAGAATATGAGTTATTTATTGAGTTTTGAAAATTGATTTACTTTTATACATGACTAAAAAAACCAGAAGGGTATATATGAAAAAAAAACCAGAAGGTTTGTCTTGGAAAAATCAAGAAAGTACGGTAGCGACATCCAGTTTTATTTCGGGAACTAATGTTTTTTTTAATACTTCCTCATATAGAATACTAATCGTAATGTATAGAATAACTTAAGCAAAGTGTAAAATACCGCAAATTATTTTTTGTTTAATTTCATTTCATTTCAAATAATTTCTTAATAAATTATAAAGCCTTTGGCGTAGGAGCAATAAAAATCTGCGATATCGCGAATAACTGAATACCCCTGATAAGTGCTGTTCCCAAATGAACTGGGGAAATTGACATTTTCGTAACAGTACTGAACTGTGACGTCACTAATTTATCTTTTGTTTCATGTGGACACGGTGTCCCTTGGTCTAATAGATTTGTCAGTCTACGACCTAGATTTGCGTAGAGATGCAATTATCATAAAATTGTTGATATATCGACTATGTTAATATATTTTTGGATCTTATGTTAATTCAAAAATCTTGATTGTAAAAACGCTATGTAAATAATATACGTTTCTAAGCCTGTTCCTACTTCGTACACGTAGCATGATGAATTTCGAGAGCGTTTTTACACTCAAATGTAACATTTCTCCGGTGCGCTCTGTCATGCAGGCTAAAGAATGTTCTATCAACATTTATGGACAGTACTTTTACAAAATTCCTATGGAATTTTTAAATTCACAATTGCCTAAATTTAAACCCACATTAAGAACTGTCTACTTAAGTAAATGACTGTTACTGAATATTTAAACGACAGAAATGCTTGGTGTTAAATATGGTTTAGTAGTATTGGGCAATAATATTTTTATGTATATTAAATTATTTATCGATAAGCTTGTTTGACTAGACATGTGATTCGATTGACGAAAATTACTGTCTTACTTTTATATTTTCTAATAATGTAATGGAAAGTGACTTAATATTTTAATGAAGTCATTTTTCAATCTTGACGCACTGTATGAAATAAAACAGCGAACTAATGACAAGCTCTTGTAACAGAATAGACTGAATTAATGATTTTGATTTACTCAAACAATCTAACTCTCACCCGAGAAACGCGACGTTTGAAAGCAGATACATCGCGGAAAAAAATATCGCTGCTTTATATCGATTTTTTTAGAAAAAATATCGATAGTTATTGGCCAATACTACTAACTAAACCAAAACAAAAACAAAGTTTAGTTTAGTGTGTTGTTGATCGACGGAAGATATAAATAAAGTAGTGAAATTTAGTTATTGTAGGCTAAACCCAAGAAAAAAGATATTTCGAGGCAGTTCACACCAACAGATTTAAGGAGAAGAAGGATATTTTTCATAAGCAATCAATGTCTTCTACGACTTTTAAAATTGAGTCTGGAGCGCAATTATTAGCTAGACTGAATAGAAAACATAGTATTGAAAACTTTTACCCTATGTTATTTGGCGCTGGACCTAAACAAGGTGAAGTCGTAGAAATGTTCAGTGAAATTAATGTGACAATCTTGTTATACGACTTAATTTGTGAAACGTTACTTCCTGTGTATTTCGGTGGTACGGAAATAGGTGTTATTCTTTATAGTTGCAATGGGAATTTCAGCTATGATAATTTTGTATCATATATGAGATATAAAATCTCTACTCATCCGATTATATTACAAAGCTCAGTTATACAGAATTTCAATGATATTCAATTAAATGAAATACAGAAGAAATTGTTGAGTAATATTTTCATAGCAGATATATATGATGCTACTCAGCTTTATACTAGTATTCATAATCTTGAAAATGTTTTATTGGAACATAAAAATATTTCAATGTTAATTGTTGATACACTTACAGCTTTCTATTGGACAGAACAAACACATAAATTTATCAAAATGGATGTATATCTGAAAAATCTGCTTCAAATGATTCAAAAAGCAAGCAAAGAACATAAGATTACAATCATTTATACTAGACCAGAACATTTTAGTTCTAGTAAAGAATCAATAGAAATGCTTGAATCCTGCAGCAAGTTGCCAGTTTTAGAAAAAGTTAATTATAGAATTCAAATTGTACCAACTGAAGAAAACAGTAAATTCCATGTGAATATACAATCATATAATGGTATACAAAGAACACAGCTGTACATGGACAGTTATACAATTAAATGGATTTAAATAAAAGTTAAAGACAAGTACATTTTACTTACAACCTATGGTAATTTTAATGTAAATTATTGCTATATAAACAATATTTTATAACAACAGATAAAAATATTAATGAAGTACTCACAATAAATCTAAAAGCAAATGTCATGTTATAAAGGGTTTTCATAATTAATAATAAGTTTCACAATTTATAAAAAATGCTAGAAAACTTAGTTTAAGAAGATTGTGATATTATTCAATAAAAATATCAAATTGCATTTCTGTTACATAAATTTGCAACCTGCCAAATGGACAATAAAGGATATTTAAGATACAATTTTATTGAAAATCATATTAACACCTAGTTTCAGAATTGGGAATTAAAAGTTAAGCATGTCCAAACCATACTTAAACCGTTTTAAATGTCACTTAATCAGGTTTTCAATTCTGATTTAGGTTTTTTTTTTATAATGATCAGTTGATAGCAGTTTAATAAAACTAGGACTTTTTGCCAGGTGAAACATAAAAAAATTAAGTTATTGAGAACAATCCATTGAGATTTTGTACTTTTATCAATTCAGAAACTGGCCATAAGGGACATTTTTATATCTATTTAACAGAAGAGATCACTTTTACTTAAAAACAGTTATTTAGAAAATCTAGAAATCATTAATAAATGTATGTAAATGTTATTTAAATAGACAGTATGAAGAAATTTTGCTTTGTTGATTCAATCAATTTATAAACAACTTATTTACTCCTTAATAATATATTAGCTAATACTGATATAAATCACAAAAATATGAATATTATAAAGCTCATAAATCTGGTTAACGAAAAAACATCAATTTTTACTACTAGAGAAGTCATGTGGTACTGAAAAATTATGAGTTAAAATGTTGGAGAAATCCAAGCAATCACTTTTTTTTTTGAGCATCATAAAGGTTGACATGCAGAGTAAGTTGCAATTGACAAACTAACATACATATATATATTTACAGATATAATTGATATGTTACTACTTTAGTGCATATTGTCTCTATCACAAGTTATTTAAAACTCTATTTTTTACATCATTTCAGATAAAAAAAATTTTTTTGCAAGTGTACTGCAGTTAGGAAATGGTAGTTGTTTTAAAATGCTTCCTGAAAATATTGTTATTATTGCCATCTCACTTACTCTTAACTATAATTTCTCTGCAACTACTTTATGAGCTAAGTATGAGTGCTAGTACTGTAGTATGATTTGAATTCTGAACTGCTTATCTAGTTGTTAGCACTGAATTCTCTGGATAAACTGTAATATCACATCATCACGTAAATAATATACATAAAAAGTGTAAAACCATGACTAAAGTAGTTAAGATTCTCCCACTTGCTAATTGTGTGATGGTATGAATATCCTGATTCTTGTACTGTAAATGATGCCTCAAACATAACTCCTAAATAGGCAAGATGAATAATAGTAATTAAAGAAAAAAGTGTATTTAAAAATACTGCCAAGGAACTATTTTTTTTATACCTGTGTTCACACTGTTTAATACATGGATTTGCTAAACAACAAACCTCTAAAGCACAGGCAACTTTAAAGCGCAGATTGTATTCTACATATGAAAATGTGCCAATGCTCAAAAGTACAGCAGAAAACTGGAAATTTAGGCCATGCAGAAAGGAAGATACTGCATAAGTTGCTAATATAGCTGTAAATTGACCATAAACTTGACATGTTTTGAATACATATTTTTTTAACCACTGATGCATTGGCATATTCCAGTATATAACAACTTGAACAAGAGATCTCGGGAGTTCAATAAAAAATGGATTAGTTACTTGCAAATCTGAATGACAATCATTAGTGAGACCAAAACCAGCACTTATCATAGATACAATTGACATGCTAGATACAAAATAATGTGACATCCTGAAAGCTTGGGCATCACGATATGCTACTAGCCACTTTGATATGTCATCATCTATATACCATGGAACAATGCAATTTGATAAGACTAAAAAACACATAGCCAGTAATAGATTCAAAAGTATTATTTTGAACCATCTTTTATTTAAAAATTTTACTTCTAAATAAGTACTGTACATATGAAAAGATATCCAAGGTCCTAAAATACAATTTGCTGGACACAATATATATCCCCCAAACTCTACAGGATTTAACATTTGTTTAAACAAGTCTCGATCCAGTTCTATTGCAACTGATATAATCTTCATTGCTGCTACCATCTGCATCCCCCTTATCTGCTGCCACATTTTAGGATTTACTATGTATATTTCACAGAGCAGCAAAAACGCAATTACCATAACAGATAGAAATAATCCCCTCAATCTCTTTGTGATAAATGATAGAAAAAGCATAAATATATATGAACCTGCAGTTAGGCCAACAGTCCACATAGCTGCTGGTCCGATGCTGTAGTAAAGTAGAAAAGTGCCTATGGCCATGCTTATACTGTGTCGAACATTGTGCGGTAGTGATATTGATTGAATTATGAATCGTAGTAGCAAATTCGCTACTATCAAATCCTTAGCAAATCGAAGGCCCTCACAGATGGTTGGCTCCGCACATAGACTTAAGTACGACCAGGTGTTTATTGTATACTCTTCTTCTTCATTCATTATTCCTTTTTATAATCCAGATGTTGAGATATACATCATCATTTATAAATGTTTCGTAATATTTGGATTTTCTTTGCCACATACATTTGATCTAATTCATCCGATTATGAGACCGGCCGGGTATAAACACCAATAAACACAGACCAAGATATTTTTCAAAATATCGATATTATTCAGAAAATAATCGATATAAAAAGTTATAAATTTTTCCCGCGATATATCGGCTCTCAATATTTATTTTCACATATCAAATTCATGTCATAATCGATACATTTTTTAAAGTTCTGCTGTCTGCTCATATGTCGCATCATGTATTTCTTAAAGTTAAAAAGAGTAGGTAGGCTGTATGAGTTTAGAAATTACAATCTATGACTTGCTTGTCTTTTTTGTTTTTGCTTGTTGGTTGGTTGAGCTGAGAGTGCTCCTGATGTTTATATCAGACAAATACTGATTTTTTTGAACAATGTAATTTTTGTTGTGTTGTGTTGATGATCCTTGACTTTATGTACCTATTTTAATTAATAAAACAGCCAGATATTTATTTGCTTTAAAATTTTAAGTATTTTGTCAATTTTTATAAATAATCACTTATTACGTAGAAAATATCGAAATATCAATATATCGATTAACTTGACAATATTTATCGATTCGTTTACAAAATATCGATATCTTTTGCTCCTCCCTAGACCAAGGAGACACTACGTAAAACTAATGGTGTGCGGAATCGATTACTATTAATCGATCGCATAATACTGGTAAGGTAAACATTGTCTTAAAATTGATTTTTAACTATTTTTCATTAACTTTGATGTCTTTAAAATACGGTGGAATTAATATGAAATCATTAATAAACTTTTAAGGTAAAAATAATTAACAATAATTGACATGAATCGATTACGAGTAAAACTATAAACGATGTGTATAATAATAGAATCGGCACATCATTATGTAAAACGGTGGTAAAACGTAGTGTCAAAGAGTGGTATAATATTCTTCTCTATAATGGCTATGATGAAGTATTAAAAAAAAATAGTTCCTGAAATCAAATTAGATGTCGCTACGGTAAGTTCTTGATTTCTCCATGACAACCTTGCCGGTTTTCTTTCAAGTTTAAAAGTAAAAGTATTTCAAAACTCATTAAACAACTCATATTCTATTTGTACTTTTTAGTATATGCATTGTCGCACGTTGAGAACGATAGTGTCACAATGCAAAAAATGCGATTTTGAGTAATGAGCGTTCAAAGTTCAAGAAATTGTAATCGTCACTACGCCACCACAAGAAAAATGTTGCCAAAAGTAAAAAATACGTCGTTTTTGGTTATTGACATTGTCATTCTCAGCGTGCGATCTAAGTTTCGAACTTTGCAAATTTCAGTTATTTAATATGTTAGTTAAAAGGCACGGAAATTACTGTCTTTGGTCCATTCGTTTCCTGCAAAAATCAACTTTTGCTAGAGTTGCCATTTAATGAAGGTCGTTTTTGATGCTTTCTTTTTTAATACTTCCTCATTATACTCATAGATTTGTCCTCAAGATTATAAAAGTTATAGTTATTATTATAGTAATAACCTGTTTTTAATAACACAATTTAGTAACGCGTAAGTGGTACCACTTCAACACTTTATTTAAGCAAAATATTAAGTAAAAAAAAAAACTTTGCAATAACAACACTGGCTTTTTATTGGCGCCAGCTATTTATTTAAAAGGAAAACTCGTTATATCTGTCATGTCTGTTTCCCGCGCTCCTGTTGTATTGTGGTGACGCAAAGTGCCATTAAAGTTAAGAAGAACCTCATTATGTTTAGAGAATTTGATATTTCCGAATTTACGGGACCGGGTGGGTATTACTACGCTTCAGATAAGGCAACATAAGATTATGTGAGATCTAAGTATTCCTCATTCAAGACAAAACTTAGATTTCGCGTAATCTTATGAAGAAAGTTTATTATATATCTCTTTACAGAACGTTAAGAAGCGCTCATCGTCTGATACATTACCTACTATCAACGAAAGTGTAGATCTATGAATATTAATAGTACCAAAATGACCTCCTTCGTTAAATATCTTTTTTAAGAAATCCTATAATCATTGAGACTCTGACCATTGTATTGCCGTAAGGTATTGTCCGATAATATTGCATGGATGATGTCTAAGGCGGATTCCGGGACACAGCACTGCATAAACACTGTGCCGATAAAATTCCGGCAACCAGGGTAATGTGTACTTTGATATTTTTGTTGCTGAAAGAAGGTAGGATAACATCATGATTATTAAGTTTTTTAAATCTGAGATAAGTAACTTATAAAATAGGGGGTACCATGGTTGTGATGGCCAATCGGGTACGATTATCATACCTTCAGCTTTGTCTGAAATATTTTTTCAAAGAGATTTGGTATCATAGCTACTGATGGAAAAGCATAAAAGAATAATTTTGTCCAATCTAAGGGGTCGTCCATTAATCACGTGAGACTCGAAAGGGGGAGGAGTGGGTTCGTAAAAAATCACGAAATATCATAGCGAGGGTGGGTGTAGTAATATATCACGTGTATTTATTTTACTAAACTGAATTACCGTGATTTCTAAACCGAAAAACGGCCTCAAAAATTAAGATTTATTTGTAGGTAATAAAAAATACACGTGATTCGGGTGGAGGTAGTCTTAAAACTCACCATGTATCACCAAGGGGGAGGGGCTGTTTAAAAATGCTGATTAAAACATCACGTGATTAATGGACGGCCCCTAAGGTAAATGATCAACCGCAATGGCGTCAGGATCGGGATGCAAATATGTACATATCCCACTTTTTATAGATTCGGTTAGCGAACAAATGAATAACCGAAATTCCTAACTTTTTTGTAAGCTCCCATTCTATATCAGGATGGATAAGCTTAGACTCTTATATTAGTCGGCGATGACGTTTTCTGATGATTTAATGTATGAAGCAATATTTAACAATTGTAACTATTATTTGCAAATATCTTAAAAGCAAAGTAAGCTCCTAATAATTCTAGTTGGTTTATGTGGAATTCTTTTTCACTACTAGTCCAACGACCAGTAGCAGTTTCAAGGGCGGCTTTAGCTCGTGTAGCGCCCGTGTGCAATGAAACCCTTTTTTAAGTATGTATAGCATACAGTATGGTATTAGTTACGGCCTTTCTTCTTATGACGGAAGAATAACACTTATTGTTTTTATGCCTGTTGCACATCTCTGTTGCGAAACTAAGCCGTGATCCGTGATAAATTGTTTCCTCTTGTGTTTTAAGTTTTATGGGCAGCGAAATAGAAGTGAAATGTATCGAATTTCTGTTTCGCTGCCCATAGAACTTACAACACAAGCAGCGGAACTGTGTTACATTTTAATCATTAGATCTTTTTATTAAACTTTTATTTACCTTATATATATTACATCACAAAACTCTATTATATACTTATAGCTATTTAAACTTTTATTTATCTTATCTACATTACAGGACCACCCTATGTACCTAAGTAAGTATTTAAATTACAAACAAAATATTTAAGAAAAAAATCACTTCATGCTTTTGCATGAGCGAAATCTTGAATTATTTCATCAATTTCTATGTCATATGTTCAATACTTATTAATGACAAATTTTTAACCTACTTTGCGTCAATGTTGATCTTTGGTAGTATTTAATTATTTTAAGTTTAGAAAAAGATCTTGCACTTTGAGCTACAGTGACTAGTATAATAATAATAATAAGCCGTTTATTCTGAACATTTAATTTTGGTTTACATAATTAGTTGTTTATAATAAATCTCTGATTATCATCATCAGTGTGCCTCTTGGCATAGGCATATCCTCTAGCATCCTCCATTGGTTTCTATCTCTTGCAACTCTTCTCCAATTAGGTCCTGCGGTTAGTTTTAGCTCGTCTTCCCATTTAAAGACCAATATTTTTCCAACCATTTGTAGTTAGTATTTTTATTTCTTTGGTGGTTTGGTCTTCATGTGAGATTATTTGTCCTAGGTATATGTATTCTTCCACCTAGAGTACGATTGCACGAACAGAATTATTGTTTATTTTAATTACTTGTTTTTCGCAATTTGTTAACAGTTTAGTTTTGCTTAAATTCATTTGTAGTTGGACTTTCTCGTATTCTCTGTTTAGATCTTTAATCATTTTCCCCAAGTTATGTGGAACCTCTTCGAATAGGACGATGTCGTCTGCAAATCTAAGATGATTTAGTTTTCTACCATTTATGTTGAGGCCATAGTTATCCCAATTCAGCTTACGGAAAATATTTTCCAGTAGGTACTGCTGAGAAAAGTTTGGGGGAAAGTGGATCCCCTTGTCTCACACCTCTTTCTATGTTAAAAACTTCTCCTAAAGTTTCTAGTTGAATTCTTGCTCTGCTGTTGGAATATATTGTTTTAATGATTTTTATAAATATCGTTGGGATTCCTTGATTTTTTAAAAGTTACTAGTAATTAAACTAGTAGTACTAAACTAGTAATGAAAGGTAAATCCTAAGTACTATGGACAGATTCTGGAACAATGAGACGGCGGCACCCGTGTGCATTGAACACTCTGCATTGATCATGTACTATAATTTTATTGTGCGAATGTTTGTCTGTCTTTTATGTTATTATTAAAATTGTTAAGAAAGGTGAACCAATGGTTATGCCTTTGCAAAATAACTTCGTAAGTAAGAAATAGAAAATAAATTACCTGTGAGATTAATACCTTTCATATAAATTCGAATGTTAATTAATACAAATTCATTTTTTTTAATCTAAGTATCAAAATTTACCCAATTATTGACTTGATTCTGACTTAATTAAAGTATACAAAGACTAATACTGATCAACCTTTGAAAATTACAGTCTAAAAACTGTTTTAGGTTATTAGCACTTTTCATTGTTTTCTTGATTTTTTAATTTAAATCATCTATTTTTGATGGCGCGTCCAAATTGAAATGAGTAATACAACACACAATCACATTAAACTTGCAAGCGCACTTATAATTTAGGTGTAAGTACATTTAACACAATGTTAACAAAATATATCATGGCATTCATTATACTTACATTTCGTGATGAAACGTTGACCGATGACTAACTAAAGCACTTGTCATACATTATAATTTTAATACTCGATAAATGTATAATAATTTGATGAATTAAATCTAACTAGCTAAACTGTGATACAAAATACGCTACAAATGAGTAATAAGGTATCTAAATATCGGTTTAAGTTCTGTCTGACACCGATATAAGTACCTTATAAGTTATAATACTAAGATCTCAATAAACTCTATTATACGGGTTTAAAAACTTTTAAACGGGAAGTAACGATCTTATAACACTACTAATAAACTTCTACTAGGAGTTATATAGAACCACTTTTAGGGGTTTATACAGACTTTACCTGTATAATTTTGAGCCAAAACCCAGCTTATTAAGGTGTCATTACACTCTATAACTCTCTTGTAAGATATCCGCTAACTTTTTAATATCTAAGCAGAACCGAAATAAGAATTTACTAAAGCTTGTCTAACACGCTTAAATGTTACTTAGGAACCTTAATTAAAAACTTTGCTAAATTACACTTTATGATCAGTGATACTTCATATTAGTATTTTATTTTGTGATTTTTTTTTATGGGCATCGTTTCCTGTTTTTAGTAACATTTATTTAACATATTCCTTTTTCAATACTTCCACATTTAACTGAACGTCGTCGGCCAGTAAAATGAACAGCAGGCACCTAAATTAGTCAGACCAATCAACCGATCCCAAAACCTGGAAATGACGCTTATGACATCAAAAAAGGTTAAAATCTAAACAAGGTAAAGAATTTTATGACTTTTACTGACAATCAAGTATACATAAAATAGTATTTTAAAATTAACCTTGAGATGGTCGGTTTTTAAATGTATTTGATTCATTTTAGTATAGGTAAACTACTATACACAAAAGACATTCAGATTGGTTTAGGTAAAAAAAACTTATAATATATAAACATTAATGCTAATATCACAACTCTTCAGAGGACAGAGTGAGACCTTTCAGGTACAAGTTAATAAATTAACAAGCATTCCGCTTTTAACTAACCTTTAACAGCAGCCGGTTTTTAACCTTAAAAGTTAATGATGACTTAAACTGGTAAGGTTTTTTATTCTCGTGGTATCGAAATACAAAGGGCTTGGACTTCAAGTGGTTAACACTACGGGCCCCATTCGTAAGAAATCGCCGTCAAACCTATGGTCTAACTTCTCGCCGCGCTAAAATACTTTTTAAAGTTCAGCATTGGTGTTCACTCTTGTGTATTTCTTTATTACATATGGAATACGTCTTGTAAATCTTTTACAACCATTATTCGCAAATATGGGTTGATCTTCTGTGGGTCCATATGTAATCACCGACATAGCATCCCTATAAAAAAAATTAAAAACTCCCATTGCAGTGCATTTTTTTACAGATTATGAAGAGTGGAAAAAATAGGGTTCGGTGCATATATGATATTACATAATTTTGAAACTTACGCCATCATTTCTTCACTGGGATGGTAAATGCCATGTGATCGGAATTCTGCGAGCGCACACATTTCCACATGATGTTGCTCTAATGGTAAGAACGGTATATAATGATCTATCAAATGTTGAGCAATAGCTCCAGATTTCTCAAAACCTCCTGGAAATACAAATTTAACGGTTAAGAATTATTTGTAATGAGTTGTCGTTCGAAGGTACTTGATTTAATTTTTTGAGAGTAAGAATTTTTTTGTAAGAAACATTTTCTTCGTATCGCCTTATACCCTTTTTGAGAGTTTTTGAGAGTAAGAAATTTTTTGTAAGAAACATTTTCTTCGTATCGCCTTATACCCGTTTTTTTTTCGAGGAAAGCTTCCGATTAGCTTTATTTATTTTCTGACATATTGAACTAATATCGTTGTAATATCGTCAGTTTGTACAAAACCTAACTTAATATTCACCAAAACCTTCCTCAAGAATTGCTCTATTTATAAAAAAAAAACCGCATCCGTTGCGTAGTTTTAAAGATTTAAGCATACATAGGGATATAGGGACAGAGAAAGCGACTTTGTTTTATACTACGTAGTGATTGTCGTATTATTTCATGTCTGATATCTATCGCAAAAAATTATGAGCACTACAACACTACTTTAAAATGTATTACTTTTAAACGCAGCCCGCGAACATATTTGCACACTAAAGTTTGGCCCACCACATGTCCAAGGTTGCCCATACCTGACCTACGGCAATCGCAGACCAAACACATTACCCACTGCGCTACAGAGCTACTTTCTTATACGTATCATTAATACCACTCTTTAAACTAATTGTACCTTGATGATATGCAGTTCTCCTTATGACAGGTTCAAAATTATGAAATTCGACCTCATTTCTTTTAATGCCCTGCTGATACAATTCTAATAAGGTGGTTGCAATCTCTTGGCCTCCAATATTTGATATAAATATAAAAATTGTATCTCTGGAATTACCATAAAATTTAATAATGATTTACATATAGGAAAATATTAGGTGTGTAAATAATAAGTATGAATTAAATTAAATATTACTAAAGTCTATTCCTACGGCAAGCGAAAACGTGGATAATAATGTGAGCAATTACATGATATTAATATTCTTTATTGCACTATGAAACAAATCCAAAAATTACTAGAATTAGTAACACAAAAGGCGGCCTTATTGCTAAGGTAGTAATCTCTACCAGGCGACCCAAGCCTAAAGTAAACAATACCAAATATGCAAATTAACTGCGGGATAGTTCATTAGGATTGAGGATATTTATAAATGGTGCTAACTCAATGCAAATAGTAAAATGCAAAGCAAATAGGCAAATAAGACCTCTTTCCTCTACCTATTGTATTAACGCCGAAACGCTGTGGAAGCTTTTCTTCGCAACATATTACATAAGCAAAATATTGCAAAATATTACGCAAAAAACCATCACAACGAAAATTGTTTCCGATTTGAGGGAAAATAAATAAATATTTGAAAAATTCACATAAATTGATCTGGAACCAGTAGCTTATGTATTTGTGTTACAGATTTAGAAACAACTTTGGAATTATATTTAAATAAAAAAAAACTGAATTAAATCACATTTATATAAAATCTAGTAAACACACTAAATGAACAATATCTGACCCAAAAAAATGAATAAACAAACAAATATGGCAAGTTAAATAAAACTGTTTATGTATATATGTAAAAATATGGATATATGTTTATATGTGAATATATATCACACAAGTATTACTATACGAAATTGGTCCTCGAATTGTATGGAGCTACAGGCATGTATAATGTATCAGTCTGTTTTTTTTTCTATAATGGTTACAAATGTAACTTTTTTATGAAAAATAAAAATGGTACAACCAACTGGAGATGTTGAATCAGAAATATGTTCAAGATCATTATTAATAGGGGTAATTGCAGTAGTTCTTCTATAGCTTGACCATAAATTTGAAAATCGTCTGCTTATATGTGATAGGAAGAAGATAGAGTTAATGAATTAATGAAAATAGAGAACAGAAAAGAAAACAATACATATTACTATCCATAGATTTCTGTCAAAAACAAATAGTGCTGTCTTAAAATGCATATACTGTGTTTTTTTGCCTGCCCTAGGAACAAATCATAGCTAAAACAATGGCTGTTGATTCAAGAAGTAGTTTAGATAATTATATGTCGTTTGAGGTATCAAATTACTGTATACCTGTAATTTATGCCATCCACAGCATGATGATGATCCAGCATTGGCTTAATAGCGTCTAACACAGATGGGCACATATCATGAATTTCATCAAATATGATAAGAGATGTTGAACATTTCGTTACGATTTCATTAACCTTCATAATCAGGTCTTTCTGTAAAATAAATAAGTAATAATTGTAATATAAACACCATTGATTACTACACATATTGTTATGGCCCTTATTAACAGCGACGAGTAAAATGGAATTCTGTTTCCATTTGGTAAAATATATCCAGGATTGATATTTTTTATTTAACCACTATATGTAACCCGCGGCTTCGCCCACATTGTCCGAGGGTACTGTGTGCACACTGGCTTGCTATACTGGAGTCTTAAGCTTATCTTAATAAAAAATCTGCCAGTAAACATCCACCTTTATATCATCATCATGAGCTTATTAACGTCTTCACTGCTGAGGCATAGAGGCCTGGGGCTGCAGTCTCGACATTAATAGCGATACGATCGCAAAGTATCGAATGTCAAATATTAACGAAAATATTTGTTTGCGGTAACGATCGTTACTTCAAATTCAAGTCTCTATTATCAAGTGACCAAGCAAAATCGTAATCTATTCAGACGATAACTTATCGAAAATCTGTATTCATAGTGCAGTTCATGTACAGTTTCCTAAAGGAGAAAATTTTGCCTCAGAAAAAAGTATTTTAAATCTAAGGAAATCAGAACAACGTATTTTGTTTTTCAGTAGTGATTTCATGTTCAATTTAACAAATAAAAATATATAAAAAATGTTTACTACAAAATGATTGCTTTTTATTTATTCTATAATGTGTTAAATCAATTCGATTATTATTGGAAATTAAAATTTGTTTCCTTGCGACATCTTGCTGTCATCGATATGTCAAAACATTATTGTTTATCACACTTTGTTATGCTGTTTTATCACATAATTTATTGAACTAATTTGTGCTGTGAGTCATGGTGGAGGATTAAGATTTGGAGTCTCATGTGCAACAGGCTCCACGTGCTCCAAATCTTGTTAAGTACGGACCTTTTTTTAACTAATGAATGAATACTAATGTAAGACTTTAATATTTTTATTTCTGTGCATAGGTTAAATTAACACTTTTTTTTCAGACGTAAACGCTCGACACGAGCTAGAATTAAACAATTTAACAAGGCGATATACCGGGCTACAAAGTCGTGAGAATTTTGACACGGCGAGGAAAGATTTGGCTGAGGAATTAAACAAGACCTTACAAGAATTATATATTGCAGAAAATATAGCTCCACCAGTAGCAATATCCAGCGTTACACAACCATCAACGTGACAGTCGCCTCCAATATGTAATTTAGTATTTGTTAATAAATGACTAACATCCACTTAATCTTAAAACAACTGCAGCAATGAACATGAGTGAAGTACATTTTTATTAAATGTTGAAAATAAGCCAAAATAAAAATCTATAAATATTTATTTGTACTAAATAAAATCTTGTAACATATAAATGAAATAACGTGGGGTGTTCACTGTGTTTGGTTTTATACTTTTTTCATTTTCATCTCTTAGAATATATTACTAACCTAATACTATTTATTATTTTAGTAAGTATTGGCAATACAGCTCCCAATACTCATACTCATGAGGTGCAGTCAAGAAGGAAGAGAAGTTAGTACAATCATCATGTTTATTGTTTATACTGTGCTGAATATAATGAATATTTATAAAGATTTTTTTTTTTTACTGTTTTTTAGATCTCAATTCTCACCGAAGTGTTGCTGAGCAACACGATTTGGCCAGAACTCAATTTCTCGCCATTGCAGAGTCAAATGTGGAATCAATGAAGGTATACACAATCTTTATTAAATGTGATTTTGGTATGTATTTGAAATGAATTAATCAATGAATAAACAAGAAATACCCAAAAGCACTGTAATTATATCAAAACTCAACATGATAGAATATGAGACTAAGGGAAAAGGGAGTCTGACATTTATTTAGTTTATTTGTTATAGATGCTGGCAGCTGCATCAAAATTGCAGGCAGAGGCTGCAATGAAGCAGGCAGAAGCTTCATTGATTCATGCACAGGCAATGAGTAAAATAGGGGATGCGCTTTTGCTTCTGGCCCAAAATAAATAAAAGTGAATTTACAACTTATATGGTCATTTTAATTTGTACATCTACCTATACATAAAATATATTGAAATGAAAAATAATCTTAGGTATAAATACTTTCAATCAAACTTCTGCTAATTCTATATAGCATAAGAAATTCCGTCTCATCTAAAGCCAAAGGATTTTAGAGACTTGGCCTGTTTCTGGCTATTTGTCGTCGCCTCACCATTAGGTGTCGATGTTCAAGCACTGTTAAATCTAATGCTAAATATGCGTCAGCCATCACGTTTTAAATATCTTTATGACTAAATTTCCGATATAAATCCCTCGAACTCCGTAAAATATCGAAAAAAATATTATTAGCAATCGCAAATCCCACTTATCGAGCTGACAGTTAAACTCGCTACGCTACCGACAAAAATCGATAACTTTAAATGTAGGCGTCAAAATGTGTTCGCAAACTGTCGAGACTGCCGCCCCTGACCAATAGATGTCACTAATTATGGAAAATCTACCGGTGTTTCTGTTGTCATAGAATTGGAAAAAATACAAACGTTTTCTTTGTTTAAGTCTTATTCTACGCCTGATCCTCATAGCAACTTGACGGTCAGCTTGTTCTTGCTTTCTCAATTCAGCATTTTTAGATTTTGTTTTTAGTGCGTGACGTGCGTGAAAATTTGCCAACGTATATGTGCCATCTCCTCAATTTGTAGGTATCTAATATATATAATTACGTCTACTCAGTATTCTTTGCACTCAATTTATTATTTAACTCTAATACTTTGAATTTTTAATATTATTGAAAGACCTTTCACAAACTGGTAAAATAAAATATACCTTTCTAATACAAATCGTATTTGAGTTAAACCGCAGACCGATGGACAGACAGACAGACATGACGAAACCATATCGGTTCCTAGTCCAACTATGCATGACTAAAGTAACTTTGTTTGAAAATATCGGAATTAAAATAAAGACCACAAACATTAAAGAAATCATAACTACAATTTAATAATATAGTAGCATCATCTAGTGATCAGTAGCTAAAACAAAATGGAAAAAAATGAACATTACTAACATAACGAAAAGCAAAATCTTGTTTTAAAAGTAAAGTAGATTTTTCACCCCATTGAAAAAGAAAGATATTTTGTTTGATGAAAATCTTTAAAAAATAAAGACTACAAACATAACATTTTAAGAGTGTAGTAGTGTCATACATTATTGAATTAATCCTGCATAAAGAGCTGAAATCATTTAATAATTGACATGGAATATAATTACAATGACAAATTAAATTGTAAACAATGGTGTCTATGGTAACAATTTAATACACTATACAGATTTCCACTCGCATTTTCATCTCTTTATGTGATTTTTTTTCAGGATATGATAGAAATATATGGCCGCTGACTTTTTTATAACTTTCAAAAAATTATAAGACAGATAAGTTGCTTTTTATATTATTAATGTTTTTGGAGTATCTTTTGTTTATTTACTGTAAAATTATGTGAATAGACAATGAAGTGTAGAAAATATATGCAAGTTGAGTAATGTAGTTTATTTGGGCTCATTAGCTAAAAATTTTACTAGATAATTTTATATTTGTTGAATCAAAACAAATATGTTATATATATATATTGATCAATATTATAATAACAATTGAAAAAGAAATGGCCCCTTCATCATCTACATCTATTATAGGCAGATAACTAATTAGATCTAAGCTATATCTATATGCGAAAACCTATAATTGTTTATTGGCTTATTGTTTATTATGTTTGTAATCTATGATGTTTGAATAGCTGTTGATTTCCAAGATATATAAATTTAAAAAAGTCTATTTCTTACCAGTAATACTTACTTTGCTCTTTTCTAGATCTGTACAATCAAAATCTTTTTTTCCCATAAACAGCTTTACATAATTACTTTGCATGCCATTTTTGTACAAAGCATCTGCAATCATTGTAGAAGCATAATTTTTCCCCACGCCTGACCAACCATGTAAACTAATGACTAAGGCCTTTTGATTCCTTTTATTTTTATCATATACAGCATCTTTATGTGCAATAAGAATATTGACCAATTCAGTAACCAGTGGCTGACCAAACATTTTTTGTGATAGTGATGATTGCAATTCTGAAAGACAAATAAATAAATGTTTAGATTTAATTTCTTTACAAATACTTCAAAGTGTTTAGTATTAAGAACTTCTTCAATCTTTTAATGGTAAGTAGTAATAGATTAATTTGTGCTCATATAATTTCCCCTATTTACAAATTGTTTCAAAAATTAATATAGTAATTATAATATAATATTACTACATATTTTCACCATAATTGTTTTTTTTAATATTTGTTAAAACAATTCTGCTGTTTATTGCCAGAACACTGATGAGAATATGCTCAAGAACTTCGTCAGTCTCATTTTGTAGTTTGAATACAAAACTGATTAAATGTAGTAATTTAAAAATTTATCCAAATAATGGTAAACAGGCAACGGTGTTACAAGTACATAAGCATTCAATATACTGATCAAGGCGTCTAATAGCAAATTATAAAGTCTTTGCATATATGGCACGATTTGTATAATAAACAATTATTTAACATACTTACTATCAATATCATATGGTACATATTTTCGGTTACAACATTCCATGAAGTGGCAAAGGGTGGAATCCTTGACAGTTTCCCATTTATACCAACCCCCGGCTAGAACTGCAGAGCCAATTAAAGAGACAGTAACAATTTCTGAAGACACATAATGTAAGATACAAGTAATGAAAAAAAGTACACAATAATTATTCGAAAAATACATAATTTCGTGCCAATATTTAGTCTAACATGCCATTCAATAGTATTAATTATATTTAGGATTAGGGATGATCGATATTCATAGATGTTTAATAAACATCGATGTTCAGCTAGAAAATATCGATGTTTTGTCATCGATGTTTTAACTTCGATAACATCGGCTCATCGATGGTTTCTAGCCAAACATCGATGTTTATGAATAAAATATCAATATATCCTTAGGGTCATCTAACGTGCTCTAGATGTATTAGCTAGATGATCTCGTATACCAAGTTCAATTATTTTCCACTAGATGTCACCGGATGCACTCGTAACTAGAGTAACCAAGCAAAAAGTCATTTCTTTGCATTCATTTTCCAAGGAAGTTAAAAATAAATCTGGTGACTTCAGCGTTCTTCGTTACCCTATAATTAACCGATAACGTACTTCAATGACTGTTACGATTTTTTTAGGTTATTTTGAGAACAAAAATTAATAAATTGCCCTTAAGAAGATAACGATAGTAATCGCTTGCTGATTTTGTTTTGCATTGATGGTATAAAGATTCAAGAAGATTCTTTTATTCGGTGTCGGGTAGTTTCGCATATATGAGTGATGGATGACTTTTTCTAAACTAAATAAAGTTCGTCTCACGAAAGAAATACCTTGGATCACAATGTTTTCGCTTTTATTACAAAGAAAAAAGAGTTATGAAGTGTGACTTCTTTCGTGAAATTCTAACTAAACTCTTTTTTTATTTCATATTTCTAATAGGCATAATCAATGTTTGATAATCAACGATGCTGAAAGCAAAAAAATCAATATCGTATATTTTCTTTAGTCAAGTTTTTTATTCGTTATAATGTTAATATCGATTTTGCAATGTTAGGGTAATTTTGTTATCATATCTCGCATTGATCTGTGGTTGTCATTTTTATGTATTAAAACGGCTGAAGGCCATGGAAGCCAATACCGGTAAAACCATTTTGAAAAAAAAAAATGTATTAAAATGCTGAAGGCCATAGAAGCCAGTGCCAAAACCCTTTAAAAAAAAAAGTATCAAAGTTAATCAAAGTGTACATCAGTCACGTGTTTATTGTTTTAGTTTTTATATTTAAAACTAAACTTTTTACGAAACGAAATTAAAATCGAAGTAAACATTAACATTACGAATTATTGGGAATAAAAATGGGCAAAAAAAGAAAACTGGTGACAAAGGACGACGATTTGGAGTATGATCCCGTACCAAAACATTTAGTAACCTCACACATAAAGAAACAAGAAAAACGTTTAATCGTTATTTTAGAAAATGCGCAACTGGAAACTGTTAAGGTAGTTTATCAAATTTATCCAATTCCTTTGTCATACTATTCGATTATGCTGCAGTGCTTTGCAGCATTATACTTCAGCGTCATTGTATGAATTAACCATAGGATTATTTTTTTATTTGTTTTTACTATTTATATTAATATAATTTTTCAGACAGGACATAGTTTTGAGTTGTTAAATTGTGACGACCATGCCAATATTCTACGGAAGCATGATCGTGATCCAGGTTCTTGTCGACCAGATATAACTCACCAGTCGTTACTAATGTTGATGGACTCACCTCTAAATCGTGCTGGGCTGTTGCAAGTGTATATTCATACAGAGAAAAATGTACTCATAGAAATTAATCCTCAAACCAGAATACCAAGAACATTCAAAAGGTTTGCAGGACTAATAGGTGAGTTGTTATATATTTTTTTAACTGTAAACCAGTGGTGCAACTAATACTACTTTACCAATGAATGTATTTATGATTATTATAACTTAATAAATGTAGACCCTGGAGAGATTTAATCAGTGGTACACTGATAATTTTTTGTTCAAACAATACTATCAATCGGTGAAAAGCCAATTTTTTCAATATTAAGTTAATGCATTTCGATATTGAAATAAATTACCTATATAACCATTATCAATATTTTACTTATAGTCATAGTTTCATTTCGGTTTGGTTCATTATGATTCCAGCAAGTACTTATGTCTCATCAAATACTTCAGTGTGATATAAAAAAGTAATTCTAATATACCAGGCCTTGGAATTGAAAAGAGTTCCATCGAATTCTATGATGTGTTATCAAAAGCATTAGAATAGGTCTAGGAATAAGTCTTTCAGCCATCAATATGCACAATTAATAATTTCTTTACTTAAGAAACAAATATAATTCTTAGTAATTTTTTATATCTTTTTGTTACAGTTCAACTACTTCACAAATTTGCTATAAGGGCGTCTGATGGTCCTATGAAATTGTTGAAGGTTATCAAGAATCCTGTGACATCACATCTTCCTGTGGGAGTGAAAAAATTTACTATGTCATTTAGTTCAAAAGTTGTAAAGAATTGTCGTGATTTAGTGCCAAAAGATGAACCTATTGTTTTAATTATTGGAGCCATGGCACATGGAAAAGTAGATGTTGATTATTCAGAAGAAGTTATATCAATAAGTAATTACCCATTGTCAGCTGCCCTTACTTGTGCAAAACTTTGTACAGCTTTTGAAGAAGTTTGGGGTGTAGTATAAGATAGTAAGAATTAAATAATCTTTGTACATAAAGATTCTGCTTTTATTAATAAATTATGATTTTTATTAAACTAAAAGTATTTCAAAGTTTCCTTTACAAAAATTAGTGGAGTTTGATTTATTTTTAAATATATAACTTAGAGATCCTGAGTTTTTTTTTATTATAGAGCCATATATACCACATAATCATTATCAGGATTATATTCTGAAACATGTTGTTTTTGTATATTCTAAGAATATGAAATCAATATATAAAAAGATAGAATAACTGCTAGTATACATGACTAGCAGTTATTCTTAGTAAGTAGTACTTGGAATAAAAAAGAAAAAGTGTTTGTTTTTTGGAATGTACTCAAGACATTTAACTTACCACCCATATTGTTATATTAAAGAAAAAAATTCTTCGATTTTTTAAATAACATCATACATCCGCCATCCTATTAATATTATAAATGTAAAAGTTTGTTTGCATGTTTGTTTGTCCGTCACGCCGAAACTTCTGAACGAATTTTGATGAAATTTTGTATACAGATAGAGTATTAGCTAACTTAGACAATAGGATTTATCCCGCTAAACATTTCCCTAGGAACCAGCGGGCGAAGCCGCTGGCGAAAGCTAGTATTGAATATTTATAAAATATGTAATCAGTGTCACTCGGGATAATGTGACGTTTCTAATGATACTCTATACTTAATAATCCTTAAGTATTTTAAAAGTTATGGTGGAATTAAAAAACTCATATACATACATAAATACATTAACTCTAAACACAATTTACTCCTTTTTTTTGGGTGGTCGGGTAAAAATAGTTTTTGTTACGCAATATGCCATCCTCCCTAAATCCTCAGAATAATAACAAAGTTCTGAGCCTAAATATATCTCATTGACAGGCGCGTTGCTTTCATCTCGTTTTCTCTTTGTCTTTACGTCCAGCGTTAATACCCGTTTAGGAAGGTATAATTTTAATGTTATTTCTTCTAGTATTTTTCCAAATAAAAATATGTATCTTAGTATATTTGGATTCAGTAATTATAGTGAAAAATATGACTATTAGTGCAAAAAATTAATTATCACAACACCAACGCCATCTATTACTAGCCTCAACGAATATCTTGAAAGTAATAAGATTAAACGGTTGGTCGAAAAACAACCATAATATCTCAGGCTCATCTCATTCCATTAACTCTATGAACTTCTCTGAATCAGGACAAGGGTCGGTAAACAAAAAATCCAAACGCATTCCATAGTTCTCTATCCCCTGCATTCCTAGATTGATGTGGGACTACACTGATCAAGAATGTTAACACAAAAAATTCATCGTAGAGTATGTAGAGCCAGGTCAATCGGCTGCAGTCAAAAAGCGTAGAACTAGTAAAATAAAACTAATATAATATATAAATTATCAAATAATATAATAGGATATTAAATACATTCTAGGAATAATAATATATATTAGACAACATCACACACCTTGCTCGGATTCTAAGATAAAGTAGATTCTAAGATAAAGTAAGCTAAAGTAGTCGTAATAAAGTATTTCAAACAACGAAGACCGAAACCCGACAACGTAGAAAAGTTATTTTCTACTCGAACCCGGGACCTCCGAGATAGCGACATATTGTAACTGGCGTATGAGTCACTCAGCAATTTGCCGAATATGCATAAATTGCGAATAAAATATGTAATTCTGTACATTACTTACATGTTATAATAGTAGTACCTATTAATATATAAAATAGAATCCTTCAAAGAAGATATTAGATATTTTTTTATAATAGAATAATAAGTATGTATTTACCTAATCAGATGAGACTTAAATATAAAAATTAAATAAATCCTAAGACCTTTTCCCATACGCCCTAGTTAACTAGCCATGAATAAGACAGCGTTGTTATGGCGGTATTACATTTCATTTATCTACAATAAGACATCTTCGGGATATTATGGCGGTATTTCATTTCATTTATCTACTTTATAATTAAAAACTTTTTATTTGGTCTGAGAGACAATTTTAATTCTTGATTGTTACCGCTAGGAGCGCTGTTCCGGCTTTAAAATCAAATCTTAACGCGCTCACGATGGAAGGTGAATTTAACTTATATTGATAGTTGACAAGCGTCACACAACATATAATCAGCCTATTGTCTGCTGGGGATTAATTCCTATAGATGAAAACGAATCGAACAGGGAAAACGGACATTTACCACGCTTTCCCAGTTCGGATTCCTGAATGTTAATGACCAACGGCTTGATGTGCTTTCTAAAGTTCTTGACGACCCTTGCGAAAGTTCTTTATCTTACACATTGCAGATCAAACACGCTAACCACTGCGCTACGGAGCTCCTGATTGAGTCGCGTAGGTAGCTAACCTTCAAAATTAGTGGATAAGAGGCCTATAATTATTAAGTGGTTATAACGCATTTATAGCAATTAAATTCGGCGTAAGTCTACAACTAGTTTAACCTAATAATAACAATTGATAGTGTGAATCAGATTATTTTTTATAAAATAATAAAAGAATCGAACACAATAAACTCACTGTTATTTATCAGTAACAGAGGAATAGGAATGTTGAAGGTTGACGTAAGTCACTGGTATGCATTAAAAGCGAGCAGCAGCGGGTTGTATAGTGTTGTGCTTGCGATTCTGAGCTGGACCGTCAAATAGGGGACTAGATTCTCAACAAGATTCCTTTTATGGATTGAAACGACATAACCTGATGCAAAACAATTGCTAGAATGCACTATTTAATATGCAGGATTGTTCGTCGTTCGTATTACCTTGTTAAATAACGGATGGACAATGATAAAGGTACATACTGATTCTTTTTGTTTAGAATATTGACCTATTCGTAAAGGAAAACAGTTGTAGAGACATATTTTTACTTAAATAATTCAGCATCCCGAGCCTATTATTATAGTATAGGTACTTAAATCACACTAGCTTTCTCCACCCCTAGTCATGGCCCTCTTCGTCTTACGGTAAATGTGCCTCTAGATAAAACAATAGAAAAATCTGTAAACTATTAAAAACAATTTTTTGTCTTTATGTGCCATACTATTGTTGCGGTTTATAATCCGAACCAGACACCAAGTCTTACAGAAGTCTTAAGACTACTATTTTACTAGCTCTTCTAGCATATACTAACGATCTTATTCGAACTAATCTATCAAAAACTAGTTAATTTCCGTTTAATTAGCATTCTTAAGAGTGTATTAAGCGTTAGAAAAACGTTGGAATTATGCGAGCTTATGCAAAATTAATTAAATTTTAACCAACTTTGAAAAGGTTGAGATTCTATTATCGAGATCTATGTATTTTTTACGTTATATTTACAAATTTCTCCGCAAAGTGTAGATACCTACACCGGTTTCAAAATGTAATCAATAAATCTTTGGGTACAGTGGACGTACAATCATCAGCCTGTTCTCACAGCTGGGGGCAGGCCTTCCATATGGATGGAGACGAATCAAAAACAAGCCTTTCGAAGCACGGAGGAGCTCGAGATAATAAATTTTTGGTCATCCATCCCATGACCAGCCCTTGCGAAAGTTGCTTAACAATCGTATCGCAAGCACGCGACCGACCGTCTAACACTAACGACATCATTCATTAAGATGTTATGGCAATACATCGTTACATTTTACTACTTTGATAATGTCTTTTGGAGGATAAACAACCAAGTTGGTAACACTGCTGTCAAAAAATTAAATTAGTTGTGATCAGGCCCCGGGCTATAAATGGGCAGACTGGACATTTGCCCAGGGCGCCAAATTTTTGGGGGCGCAAAATAAAAGAGATAATAAAAATAAATGACAGAAACAAATTGCCTTAAAAATATAATTTTAAGTTGTAATCGTTGCTGGAAGTGTGAATTATGTTGAAATAAATGTCTACAGTTTTGTGTATGAAAGACGTGTTTTCTTGTTATTTCCTTCATAAAATATAAGTAACATAGATTATTTGCTTTTACATTATAGTAATAAAGGGGGCGCCAGTCACCTAAGCCCGGGGCCTGGTTGTGATCGATAAACACACGAGTGATCCTATAAGGTTTCCGTTTTCTTGAATGAGACGGAACCTTAAAAATTAAGAGGAAATGGATAATAAAATCAACACTTGGTTTTATTAAAAAGTTGAACTTTTATTACTATTTGTACAGCAATCACGATAGTGACATCACTATACACAAATATATTAGAATTAGAGTTTTTCACGGTATTACTACCACGTACCTTGTTTTTGTTGAGTTCCCAATATTTCGGCGCTGTTGCAAGCGCCATGATCGTGGAGTAACAGATTTTTTTTGCAGCTAGGTGTCATAGACAGATATATCTATCTACCTATGAATTATTGGGAACTCAACCATCCATGGTTGAAGTCCAATCCATGGAAAATGACCATGAAAGCTTAAAACAATATAAAATAGTCTTGAATCCTACTACCTATCCTCAATGCTTTTAGGTTTTATATCAAGTGCAGAAATTTAACAGTTTTATAAAGCCTGACAGTCTGTTGATTATACTTCTCTCATCTCTAATATATGGATTCGATAGAAAACATACGGTCGGTTTCTGAATTGAGAAAAGTATAAAATCTCGACTGAATATTCTCTATAACTTAAGTTCTTAGTTTTCACAAGGTAAAATGTCCTAGTTTTTATCAAACAGCTATCAATTGATCATTAAAAAAACTAAAATTAGAAACGAAAACGTGTTTAAGTGACGTTTCATTACAGTTTGAGACATGTTTAACTTTAAATACTCAATACCGAAACCGGGTGTAATGCATATTAAAAATATTGGTAAGAAATAAAAAGAAAGTGAAAGACATCAACGCGCAATTTTACTAATTAAAATAACTAAATTTCATCAATGGCTATTTCTATTTGTAGTTTTATTGTATTCACCATTTTTTAACAAGGATAATAATCATACGGCTGCACGTTAAGTTCACAATACCTATGATAAATTTCTCCAGTTGAGTTTAAACATTAAGGTTTAAAATCAAGTGAAGAAATTTGATAGATTTGTTT